TCCCGACCCAAAACCAGTATGAAATACTGGAAAAGGAACAGAAACTGTTTGAATTTTTTGCAGAGCGATACGGACAAAGACTGGACCAATCATGAAAGAAATTCAACCCCGATCAGAACCTGTTCAAATGGCCAAAGACATACACAAAATCAGAAGGCATCCACCCGAGCAAAAAAACAAAGGGCTCCAAAAGGAATGAACAAACAAATTCAACTAGCCCAGCACAAGTGGAAGGGAGAGAAGGTGAGGGCATCCTACTGAACACAAGAGAAGGCCTTGACATGCAAAAAGAAATCCTGCAGGCTCAGATCACGGTTCTCAGGGATCGGAACAGAGAAACAGCAGATGACACCATCAACCTGCAAGGGCTTGCTCTAGGACAGAACGCAGAAGTCTTCACAGCGGCCAGGCTGGAAGCCAAGGGGGGGTGCAGGAAAAGAGTAGTCCTGCCATACTGATGGAACGAAGAGCACGAGGATTGGGAGATTGCAGTAGTCAAATCATGGTCCCTCATCGCATTGGTCAACCTGTCCAACAAGGTCCTTGCGGCAAAGGACGCTCCAGTAGTAGCGCACATCCTGGGATCCAAGGACGAATGGAGGGAGGAATGGTTAGACGACGCAGGAGACATCCTGGCCATTGACCTCAGACCCTACATGGTATGCTACTCAATGGAGGCACAGCTTATGGATCACATGGTTTGGAAACCATGGAAGGTGCTGCACGCAATATCCTATGGCCTAATGGGAGGAGAAATCCCCTCGGAAAGGGCCGTTGTCTCAGCCTCAATAGTCGAGAGTCACTCCCTCTTTGATGGCAGGGATGACCACCTGGAACAGGTATTGGAAACAAATTCTAGACAGATCAAAGTGCGACTCGCTCCCTACAACGAGTCACCCTTCAACTAACTCCCAGCAAACAAACACCCACACTAGGTCCCAGCTCAACATTCCATGACAGGTCAACGCATGACCAAGGGACAGGCCAGACCAAACAGTACACAGTCAGAAACAAGGAGCCTGAGCTGTCAGTGGTGTCATGGAATGTTAACGGCGTAGGATCAGTATTAACCAACACAGATAAATGGGACAATATGACAAACTACTTGAACTGGTATACAAATAACCCGCCCGATATAGTATGTCTACAAGAAACACACTTACATAATTATAGCAAGGCTAAAACATGTACGCATAGGTCTCTGGGCTCCCTCTCCGTGAGTAGGATCAGCAAGAACAACAATTTTGTGGCACCAAAACTCGAGAGCAGCCAACTTAATCCGGATAGTAGAAGCAAACTTGACCTAGACAAAGGAAGATGGATAGGAGTCTCCCATGGACACCCCTGGCCTTGGAGGCTCTACAACAACTCCCAGGTTACAGCACACCAGCAAACATGGACGGTACCTTCTGGGTAATGAGCAAGTCATGGACCATGAAAAAGAGAACCCCAAACCAAGAACTGACAAGAAACGAACCAAGACTAAAATTCTGGAGAACAATACTCAAAGCATGGAGAGAAGTCTTTCCAGCCAGAGTCAGACACTCACACACCAAAGAAGAGATTCTTAGGCAACCACTCTTCTGTAACCAATGGATAGCCACCAACAGGGGAACACCTTTCACCCTCACCACAAAGGATGCAAAATGGGGTTCCTGGCTAGAAAGAGGGATCTGGCAAGTCAAACATGTCTGGGACGAAGACAAGAAGGATTGGGTGAACGTCAGACAACTCCGCACCGAACTCAAGGGTTCCCACAACCTACCTCAAAACCTACAACAAATAATAAACGCCATAACAGTAGAATGGGGTCCAGTGCTCCAAAAAGACAAACAGTGGAACATAGGAGACTGGGCAGTGATGACACACATTCAACCCTGCCATTACACTCTCACCTATTCAGAAAGGATAGAAGGAAGAAACAACTGGTATACTTTCACCATGCATAAGGTAGAGGATCCAGGCATGAACGTTAGCAAAGTTGGCAAAGATTCAGCAACACAGGTTTCAGTCAGAGAAGATTGCCTCAGAAAAATCAGAGTAATAGAAAATGACAAACTCACCCTATTCCACCTTCAAACCGCTCTAGAGGACCTAGAAGTGGACCCAGCAGAATGGGCATGGAATCTCAAACAAAGCCCATCTAGGATAAACCTTGAATTCAACCTGCTCCAATACACAACTAGACTAGGGTACAGACTAAGGCGCAGATCATCAGCCCCTGAACCAGTCATAGCCGAACATTGGCGGAAGCACCTAGAAGTAGACCCGAGGAAACTAAACCAGATACCTCGGAATCTAATAAATGCTATTCATCCCCCCAAATTCAGAAGCCTGCAATGGCTAATACTATATACCCAGCGGTCCCCCTGAACCAATGGTTGAATGCCAGAAAAAGAAAGGAAGACCGTAACCCACTACAAGAATTGTGCGCCAACTGCCCAGAGGGCCGGACAGAGAATCTGTTCCTCTGCTTTCTCCTCTGTTCCAAGATAAATCCGATTTGGACGAAGATATCCAAGATCTGGGACACGGTTACCGCATCAGAGTTCACAACAAGCCCGACCCTCCTTTTACTAGGTTTTATAACTCCTGAAGACTGGTCCGCCCTACAAAACAACTTCTTCCAAATTCTTAGGAAAGCAACGATATGGGCAATTTTGAGGAAAAGATGCCAGGAAACAATAGAGTCGAATAGAAAAACAACCAATGCACCTACATGAGGCATGGCGACCGATCCAACAACAGGTAGAAACAGAATATTGGGTCAGATGGCACAAAGTGAGAAGAAAAATGAAAGCAGATGTACACAAAGGAAAAGAAGTTTAAAGAACATAAACAAAAATTCGAAGAAACTTACCTAGCGAAGGGCGAAATAGCACACACCAAAGGCCAAGGATTAGCTTTTACACTCTGGGAAACGGCCCCTCAGGCTATCCAAATAGACACAGAATCCGTCAACAGATTACCAGAATCATACATTGCCCACACGCACTCATCCTAGGTCATTGAAACAAAACCCTCACCCAACCACACCACATTACACACGCATGATTCCCTAATTACAAAAGCCAGGATACATATTTTACAAATCCCCGACCCAACACCCCTACACACAAGTAATATCAGCAGCCAGGACCCAAGCCAAGAGAAACACAGTAAAAACACCACCTAATTTCGCTTTCTTTTCCCACTAAGGCCATAGAGCCTAAGGGCCAATCGAGCCCACTCCTTCAGCCAAGCAAGGGTATGCATGTCCTAACCAAGATAATAGAATCACTTAATTAGCTCCTCACAAGAAATTCAACGACAATTCCCCGACAAAAACAGACCAGACTAGTCGAATCCTAAGGTGGGTCAGTCCAGAAACTCCAAATAGAGAAAAGGACCTAACCCTCAAAACCCTTTCGAACAGATAGAAGGTAAGAGTATGAGAGGGGCTAGGGTTTAGGGTTTAAGAAATAGCTACTAGAAACAGAAATACAAGGTAAGAGATAGCTTTAGAACAGGGTTTAAGAAATAGCTACTAGAAACACAAATACAAGGTAAGAGAGGCCTAACCTCAGCTTCAGATTTTTGAAAAACTCCAAGCAGTATCCGTGTTAGAAGCCCCAAGGCTCCGGTCATCTAACAAAACCGACAGTCAATGATGACAGACATTAAGTCCAGCAATTAATTCCAATTTGACAGCCGATCAGCTGAGAGGAGGTATCTAGTCAGGACCTCCGCAGGATAAGCCACATACCACGAACATAGGTAGCAAAGTCAGCCCCCGTACAGTAGACAGGCACTAAGTCAGGCAGGCTAACTTAGGCAGGGGCGAGGGGTGGTACATCTTTCCAAGAGGAAGTAATCAATGCCGTCCACTCAGGCCTCCCAGCCATAATGGGGAGGAGCATAAGTGCGTACATTTTGTATTCATCATTGACTTGCCGGGGGAATAGGAACCGGACTGTGGCTCCCCAGAATGGTAGGAGCCAGGACCATGAGGTTCTGTTTTTTTTTTTTTTTTAAGGKGAAACTTACTGAAAAGGCTAATATGATAATCTTTATCTGCTGAAACATGAAACGTGAATCACCATGGTATTGCTTTTTTTTTTCCCCCAAGAAAAAAACAGCGACAACCTTCGGATACCATTATTGACCTGACCGGCCCCAGGCAATTCAGAATTGTCGCATTTACTCATCTGTTTCCAGTGGGGTACAAACTCGGGTCTGTATTCAACAGTTCATGGGTGTACCCACTGAGCTAGGCCAGTTGGCTGGTATTGCCAAACTCAACTCTGTGTGGTGATGCTTTTGTGTTAAGGTTTAAATGGACACTGTGTGAAAAGTGAGATATCGATCCCTGTAGTGCAGGCCACATTAGCGAGGCAATGCCTTGGGATTCTCTCATTTGCTGAACTTGACTTGTTGAGCATTTAGAGGAGTATTGTCGACATGACATTGTCAAGTTTAAGCTGAGGATATCCTTTGCATGCCCTCCTCTCTCATACTCTCTTCTCCCTCCTCACTTTGTGATCCCTGTGCCCACCCCTTTCTTTGTCCTCACCTCCACTCTCATTCTTGTTTCCCATTCTAAGTCCATTTTTTCATCCATCAGGGGACCATCACCCTTTTGCTGCTGTGCCTTTGCGCATCACCGCTCTTACTTTACCTGCTCCCATGTCCCTCTTCTTCCCTTACCTCTGCTTGGCCCTCTTGCCATGAGCATTCACTGTTACCATGCCGATCCCTCTTTCATGCTGTTTTTATTCCATCCTGCCTCTGCTCTGTCCCATGAGTCCTTCTAGCTATTCCTATTCCTGCATGTGTTCTCGCCAATCATCATTTTCATCCTTGTTTCCACCTACGTATTTTTCTTTAACCTTATTCTGAGCACTCTTCCTATCACTGTCCCTGTAATGAGCCTCATTCCCTTCCTCTCTCCATCATTGCCTTGATTCCTCTCTCTGTGCTGCTGCCCTTGTGTGTTTGTTGGTTTGTTTGTCTGTTTTCAGGGTGTACTGATGTCAAGAGGGACAGCCATAGCAAATGTTATGCGTCCGATGGGGACTCCAGTGGTGAGTGTGTTTTTTTTGTCATGAGTGGGGTGATTGCAGCCATGAAAAGTAGGATCTCAAGGTTGATCGTGAGGTACCTGAGTTCTTCCGGCTTTTCTCCTTTTCTCTTGCCTCACCACTCTGGGGTGTGAAGTTGTGAACTCAATTCTTTGAAGTTGGTGCTCTGTAGAAGCGAAAACAATGAAATTTAAAAGGCAATTTCTGGATCTGATCCCTACTGAATTGACTTCGCTTGCATGTTGTTGGGTCTAGTGCCTGTGTAATGTCACATATATGCTTAAATGGCTGTGTCAGATTGGACCTGGAGATGCAGATGGCTACGTGCATGATGCATGCAGAGAAATGCAATTGACTCATCGTCCAATGGCTGATGATTGAGGCAAATTATGGAGGCACTACAAACAATGAAAGTGAAACTGTGAAAGCCTATAGTGTAACATAGACCCTGATTTCGATTAATTATAATTTAACATTAAGCTTTCGAATGTTTTAATCTGAAGTCGGAGACCTAATCAAAACACTAGAGGTTAATGTGATGCATGTGCTCGAGGTGAGCAATTATGGCAGCACACCATTGCTAGAACAGGCCCATTCATCCCTGAAAGTCTGCTGTGCATATGGCCTTCACGTGTAGTGCCAATTCTGTTTTCATTAGGTAATCAGTACTAGTCACAGTACTTGATATAGAAACATACTCTTTGAGTCTTGACCTCTGTTTAGAGGGACCCGAAGTTCAAAAATGACGTTAGCAAGCAAACGGGCCTTGCCATTCCGGACATCATAGGTGTTCTGTATTTATCATGGTTGAGATTCTTCAAGCCTCTAACTTCTAAGGGTTTCAAGGTTTTTTTTTTATACATCTGCTAGACCGCTCAACACTTTTCTGTCTCAAAGGGTTTCTCCTCTTCCCCCTCCTCTCCTTTGTTTCCAGATTTATTTGGACCATTTCTGGATTTATGCATGTCATGATCCTTGCACAGGGGCCATGCTAATCTTCTCTGTATTGTTCCAATTTTAACGGATGTCCTGAAGGACAGTCTCAGAAGGTTTCTAAAACAATCTATGCTGATATACCTGTCCGCTTGCCCCAGGTGATGATGTTCATCTTCAAATTTCGAAGTCCAGGAAAAAGAGAGGCAAATTGACCTTAATGCCAGCGATACTACTTAGTGCTTGCATTAGTCATATACCATCTTGCCCCCAAGACAAAGAATGCTGTACCCTCGCAGCCCCTCTTGGTTCAGGACTATACCCTGATGGTACCCAGATCAACTTTTCTGCTCACTTAAATACCAGACACCTCTCTCTCACTTCCTTATTGGGGAGAGAAGACTTAAGTGCCACCATTTGAGAAAAGAGTGGTGCTTGCCAAAAGGCAGCTGCATGTGCAGCACATTAAAAGTGTGTCTTGCATTAGGCAGCCAGCCATGAACGCCCCATATTTTCAAACCACCTACAGCACTTTTCTGCCCATCCATTCACATCATGACTCCCATCCTTTTTGCTGACCCACCTCACCATGCAGCTCTCTATCCCATTAAATGAAATCGCGAGAATGCTCTCCCACTCTTGGTTGCGCTTAAACCCCACTACGTATTATTCTCAACCATAGATGTTGCAGTGGCTTACTCCAGAGTTCATACCCTTGCTGCCGCTTCTCTCTTGCGACCTACCACCCCACCTCGGCAACAATATCACGCCCAGCCTTGTAAGTTTGATTGAGATCCGTCATGCCCCTTCTTCCTCTTTCTCAAGCCGACCCTGTCCATAGCATGATATTATCAGTCAGGACTTCATTTGCCCCTTCACTTACTGATAAGCTGAACCCAAGTCAAGCAGAAATTCACACAAAGCTCACCCAAGTGTCACGGAAAGTTATCCTGAAGTTCATTCTGGTTCATTGAGATCCACTAGCTGATGCATGATACACACGGGAAGCTTTGAGCTGCTACAGGCAGGCCTTGACATACATCCAATACTCTGTCCGGAAGCTTGTCAGTCCTGTGTAGGGTATGGGCAGGTGAGCATTGCCAAAGCAGCAGGGAATGGATGGGCAATTAGTGAGGTTTTGCATCTTTCCTTGAATGATGTCTTGAAGTTGTGAAGTGAAAGTTCCAAAACAAATCATTCCATCACATTCTCAAATTAGGAACACTTTCCTCATCCATGCAGATATCCCGCATTGTTTTATTTGTTCTTGGTTTCTTCGGACTTATGACGCTGTCTAACCTGGTTTGGCAATTCGGATTTCTGTGAAGCAGGTGGTGGATCGTATTTCACTTGTTGTGTTTGGGAACGAGGAGGATTATGTTGTAAGGTCAGCGTTTGCAAATTTTACAGATGTTCCTCGGGGGAACTTCACGGTCATGGCAGTGGACAGTGGCACTGTGGTAAGTGAGAGACGTATGTGTCATGAGAATTAACAAACGAAATTTGTTGATTGAAACTTTGATGTAACTTTGTTTGTTTGCTTGCTTGTTTTTTTTTTCTTTTACGGTGTAACTGTCGTTTCTTTAGAAAAAAAGTCCTACACCTGTTGTCCCTTTGGAAAATAACTTGCTTCTGCCAAGTAATCTTAGCTCTGTGTTTGTTGAATGGCACCCACTTCAGTACAAGCCAGYGTAGCTTGGAGTACTATGTCGTACTATGTCGACAATCCTAGTACTTAGAAGTTAGAATGCTCCTCACTGGTCAATCCAAAAGGGGAGTGACGTTGTTGAATGGCACCCACTTCAGTACAAGCCAGTGTAGCTTGGAGTACTATGCCGTACTATGTCGAGAATCCTAGTACTTGGAAGTTAGAATGCTCATCAGTGGTCAATCCAAAAGGGGAATGCCGAGGGTCATTAAGAGAAGAAGGAAAGGAAAAGCCGGCCCAGCGAATGATGTTTGTGCGAAGCAAGGTGTTAATTTTGGAGAAATTCAGATTGCTGAGGGTAAATGAGTAGAGGGTCCATACAGCCTGGCAGTAGTCCAGTAGATTCAGGTTCAGGGACACATTGATGACCATGGTAGGACCAGGTTCAGCGGAAAACGGGGCCACTAGGGCCTAGGGCGACCCAAGATGTACCGGTAGGTAGGTCCAGGTCTGCCAGCCGAGAAGAAAACTGTCAGAAGGCTCTGCTTTCTGAATCTGTCCTTCACTCTTGGTTCTGGGCTGAGGCTTGTAGGTACAGAGGCCAACCATTGGCGGGTTCACCACTAGGATTTGCAGCTGAGGACACTTTCACCAGGTGTCATGTTTTAGCAGTTCACCTGGTGCAGTTCCTGATTGCTGGAAGAGCAACTTAGCGCAACAGCTGTCATTTTTCAGCAGTTCACCTGGTGCAGTTTCAGAGTGCTGGAAGAGGAACTCAGCGCAACAGCTGCCAAGGGAGGATAGTTAATTTCTTACCTGAAATGTGAAAGAGAGAGCTGGACTGCTCTTTTGGAGGTCAGCATTGTGCAGAGTTGTGAGGCATCTTATCTCTATTGGACTGCATCAAATGGTGGTGGACATATACAAAGCTCAAGTATGTTAACGACAGAGTAATTGAGGGCTGACCAGATAGATGGATGTATGGATGGAAGGGTGGAGGATGAATAGATGGAAGGACGGACGGGATGGGATGACAGATGGATACGCCACATGGACACAGATGTAGATAGATAAGTAGATAATAAATAGATAGATAGATACACATATATTAGCTAGATATCTATCTTCCTCCCTCCCTCCCTCCCTCCACCCGTCTGTCCGTCCGTCCCTCTGTCTGTCTGTCCCTCCCTCCCTCCCTCCCTCCCTCCCTCCCTCCCTCCCTCCATCCATCCGTCTATCCATCCATCTGTCCATCAATCCCTCCATCCGTCCATCTGTCCGTCCGGCCCTCGATCTATCCATCCATTGTCCCTCCCTCCCTCCCTCCCTCCCTCCCTCTGTCACCTTTCCTCCCTCACTCCCTCCTTCTGTCTATCCATCCACCTATCCATTTATCTATCCTCTATCTATCCTCTATCTATCCTCCATCATCAATCCTCAATCTATCCTCTATCTATCCTCTGTCGTCGATCTATCGTCTATATATCCTCTATCCTCCATCCTTGATTTATCTCTATCTAGCAGTCTGTCCCTCCCTCCCTCCATCTATCTATCTGTTCATTCATTCGTTGATCCATCCATCCATCTGCCTGTCCTTCCATCGGTCTCTCCGTCTCCCCGTCCTTACATCCCTCTATTTATCCATCCATCCTCCCTCCCTCCCTCCCTCCGTCCTATCTATCCATCCACCCTGATTGTCTATCTCCAATAATAAGTTTGTGTCTACCATGGCCTATAGGAACAAAGCTATCCACCACTTATAATTCTGTTTGCATTGGTTCATGCACAGACTTCTACGTGTCCTCACTCTACAGCGCGTAAAGCACCTTTTTCCATCAATAGTGTATCAATCTCTCCAAGCTATCTATCAATCTATCTAATATATCTCTCTATCTGTCTATCTATCTATTTACCTGCCTACCTACGTACCTTTCTATCTGTAGGGGCCCGTCCATAGGGGATGACAAGGGGTGAAAGGACCAAGGACCTCTCTCTCTCTCTCTCTCTCTCTCTCTCTCTCTCTCTCTTGTGCACGTCTCGCCAGCAACGGGCTATGGAGGCCCAGCGGAGGGTGGACAAGGTACCATCCAGGCGCTGCGAGGTGATGTCGCAATTGGCAGGTTGACTTTTCAGCTGTTCCAACAGTGTTAGAAAATTCTCTACCCACCGGGCTGAACAGTTTTCCTCACCATGCAAATCACGGTAGGGCTCTGCCAGTTGTATGGTCGGCACCGTTTCCTTCACCTTGGGTACATCTGGTAGAACCCCAGCATCATTCCCATGGTCCATACAATTTCTGGTGTGCCTGCAAGGATGGTATGAACAGGGCCCGATTGAGCTCCATTGAAAGCCTCCGTGGCCCATTCCCAAGCCCCTATATATGTGCCAGGTTACCTGCCGCATCGGAACAAAATAGCTGGGAAACACACTGATGGTTTAAGGGCTTATGTCCTTTGGGAAAAGGAGGGTGTTGCAATGGAAAGACCAGTCTACGGAATTTAAACATCCACGACATGTGCTATGTCAACTTCCATCCGTTGGGGGTCTGTCCATAAGCTCCGCAGTGGGGGACTTGGGACTGTTTGTGAGGTCCATGAGGATGTCTGTGATGGTGTGTTGATGTACTCTGTTTTTATGCATGACATACAAAATTTAAACGTCCAAGGCATGTGCTATGTCAACTTCCATCCCTTGGGGATCTGTCCATAAGTTCCACAGTGTGGGACTTTGGACCGTTTGTGGGGTCCATGAGAATGTCTGCATGGGTGTGTTGGTGTAACTTGTTTCATCGATGACATTTCTCTCACCTGCCAAAGGCTATACCTTTGGTCCAGTTCTCAGGCTCTGTAGGTGGCTCAGAGTAGTGTCCTACGGTGTATATTGAGGTAGGGGTCCATGCGTGTCTTTGCACAAGAAAGAACGAGGGCGATGGTCTTGAGGTGTCAGCATCAAACTGACAGGCTTCAACTATTTTGTTCTTTTGCCAAATAAAAGCATAAAATGTAGCTAATTCTATCACACCATAAATAGGTAAAACACACAAAAATTGAAGCCTAATGTCTGGACTCGAGGAGTTTAAAAAGCTGCTATTAAGACTGAGAAAAAGATTAAAGAACAAGGATTTTTGATACAGGTTTTTAGTACTTTTTAGAATTTATTGAAATACTAGGTTACCAGAGTAGTCGGGGACCACTTGCCCGGCCAGGCCAAAAATGGATAATATAATTTTTTTAATAACAATATATTTTAGGCAAAGAATTTCAATGTGACCGTGAGGCAAAAGTTGTTCAGTTTATTTATCTGCACAACATAGTTTTTTTGGTTTTTTTTTTGTTTTGTTTTGTTTTCACAGGGACCTTCCCTGGCCCTTGCCTGCCCGGGGCAGCCGAGCAACCAAGGTGACCCGGGCGGCCCGGCTGGTAACACAATACGTTTTGATTCTATTATGACAAGAACTGAGGGAAAGTCAATCGTTGCTTCGGCATTGGTTTCGGACATGGTAACTGCGGACCCGGACACCGGACATTTCCGGACTGTTTTCTGGACCTGTGTCTGGACCGGTCCGGACAGCACCAGACACCGGACAGTGCCGGACACCGGACAGTACCGGACACCGGACTGTCCGGACTGCGTTGGCAGGGGCAAGATGTCCGGAATTTTTTTTTTTTTTAAATCACCCCCCCCTCTATCTCCCTGACAACAGTGTACTGCAAACGATCAACAACAACAACAACAACAACAAATCAATCAATCAGTCAATCAATCAATCAATCAATCAATCAATCAATCAATCAATCAATCTCCCCGAACCTCCTATCCCCCCATCTTTCCCTCTTCTCCCCTATTTCCCGGAGCCTCCCACCCCCTCTTGTCTCCCCAAACCTCGTTCCTCCCACTGCGCGCCTTCCCCCTTCTCTCCCCGAACGTCCTCCAGGACCTCCCCGAACCTCGTGCCGAATCTCGTACCGAACCTCAGTCCTAACACCGCGCGTCTTCCAACCTCCTATCCCCCCATCTTTCCCTCTTCCCCCCTATTTCCCCAAGCCTCCCACCCCCCCTTGTCTCCCTGAACCTCGTTCCTCCCACTGCGCGCCTTCCCCCTTCCCTCCCTGAACGTCCTCCCGGACCTCCCCAAACCTCTTGGCGAACCTCGTATCGAACCTGTCCTAACACCACGCGTCTTCCCCCTCCCTCCCCGAACCTCCTCCCAGACGTCCCCGAACCTCGTACCCGCCAGTCCCCATCCCGGCCCTCTTCCGCTCGTCTCGCCCATCTTTCCCGACTCCCCGCCAGTCTCCATCCCTCCCACCCCAAGCCTCCTTCCCCCCACTCCGCGCCTCCCCTCTCCGAACCTCCTCCCAGACCTCCCCGAATCTCCTCCCAGAACTCCCCGAACCTCCTCCCGGACCTCCCCCCCGAAAGTTCGAAAGATAGGAGCACTACAACAGTGTACTACAAAAGACCAACAACAACAATCAATCAATCAATCAATCAATCAATCTCCCCGAACCTACTATCCCCCCATCTTTCCCTCTTCCCCCCTATTCCACGAGCCTCCCACCCCCCCTTGTCTCCCCGAACCTCGTTCCTCCCACTGCGCGCCTTCCCCCTTCCCTCCCCGAACGTCCTCCCGGACCTCCCCGAACCTCGTGCCGAACCTCGTACCGAACCTCAGTCCTAACACTGCACGTCTTCCCCCTCC